ACACACACACACACACTACACACATACACACACATACACACACTACACACACACACACACACACACGTACCTTTCAACCAGGCCCCAACCCACCTTCAAGGTCTTCACAGCCACAGTCAGGCTGTACTTCTTCCACACACCTTCGTACACCTCCCCATACTGGCCTCCACCCAACTTGTGCTTCATGGTGATGTCGGTGCGCTCCATTTCCCACTTGTCATAGTTGGGGGACACGCCGTAGATGGTTGGCTTGTTGCGCTTAGGAGCTGGGTAGTGGAGCGTGGTGATGAGCCCATCAGCCACCGTGGAATGGTGGTGAACTAACTCAGCCAGAGTGTTGAAGCGGCTCTCCGAGGAGACGTAGAGCTGAGGAAGACAGGGAACAGGCCTCACTCACAGAGCAAAAACCCAGGGAAAAGGTTCTGCATATGGTTTGCAGTCACCATCTGAAGCTTTTCCTAGCAGGGGTGGAACTTACTGAGAGACACTCAAAACCCTGAGGACATGTGCACCCGCCTCCACTGAAACCCCGTCCAGCATTCCCTCTTTCTTTAACCTCCAATGCATTACTCTTTTGTTGTTTTTGTTTTGTTTTGTTTTGTTTTACCAGACAGGATTTCTTGGTGTAGCCCTGGCTGTTCTGGAACTTGCTCTGCAGACCAGGGTGGCCTCAAACCAATATATTACTTTTAATTAAATCTTTGTTATTTTTGTTTTATGTGTATAGGTAGTTGCATGCATACATGTATGTATGTATTCGTGCATGCACGTATGTATGTGCACTATGTGCATGCCTGGTGCTCTTGGAGGCCAGAATAAGGTGTCTGACTCCCTGAAACCGGAGTTACCTAGAGTGGTTGTGAGCTACTGTGTGGGTGCTGAGAATGGAATTGGGAGCCTTTGGAAGAGTAGCAGTTGGTGCTCTTAACCCCAAAGAGTCATCTCTCCAATTTAAATGTTTTCCCTGAGTGCTCAATCTAAAATTACTACCAGGTGGACTAGCATCACCTTGTCACCTGTCTTATTTTTCTTCGCTGTACTAAGCTTATGGCACAGTCTGTCTCCACCCAACAGAACCTAAGCTCCATGAGAGCACAGCTCTAGGCCATCTTTTCCATCCTGTTGTTCCCACGATAAGAAACTATTGCAAAATAGGTACTTAATAATAAATACTTGTTGATGAATGAACAAGAGAACTCAAGAACTTGCTGACCTGGAAAGAAAACAACTTACTTGATAATGAAGAGGGTGGGAACTGATAATGAAACATGTCTTAAGCTGCCTACTTGCTTGGGACATGGTGGAAGGCACCCGACACCAAGACTTGCACTGATGGCAGCTTGCCTTGTGAGGCTGTTTCTGTCAGCACCTTGTAGGCCAGAAGACAGCACAGCCTTTTCCAAGATGGGGACATAGAAGACTCTTGAGATAGGGGTGCTGTCTTCGAGCTTTCTGAGAACCACAGCACAGAGGGCCTCCCAGGGATCACTCTGCAGAGTTCTCATGTGGTCACTGCTGCAGTGCTGTGGGAAGGAGCTGCTCCATGCTCGCATCTACATGCAACAGCTGGGCTCCAGGCACATCACTGAGCACCTTGACTTGCCCCAGAAGCAAACTCATGTTGGGGAGGAGGGGTTGGATTGAGACAGTGCTGATACTTGGTTAAGACATGCTCAGAAAGAAAGGATCAGGCTGTAACTACAGCTTTGACATATGAAGAATGGGGGTTGGGGAGCCCAAGAAACACATAGCAGGCATAAGGCCTTTGGTTGCTGGTTATAGTGAGCACCAATGCCACCATAATATGCACATTCCCCTGGAGCAGTGTGGTGATGTGGAAAGATTTAATAGGTGTGGTCTCAGAGGAGATGCATAAGGTCTTTATGGGAACCCAGAACTCTCCTACAACAGAGTCCTCAGAGGGTGCTTATGAAGGAGCCAGGCTGGCCCCTCCTCCCTCTCAGATGAGAGGGCTGTCCCTCCATGCATTCAGCGAGTGGACTGAATACTCCACCAGTTCACTGCGACTGGGCCAGGGGCCATTCCCAGTCCGTACCATGCTGCTTCAGCGTACAGCTTTCCACACCAAGAGCTAAATAAAACTGTCTCTGTTAATTAGCTGCTTCAGGTTATTTCACTGTGGCAATAAAATGCAGGCACAGTTATTTTCTGAGGCTTATAGTATTAATATTAGATCACTGAAACACTTTAAAGGGAGAAAAATCACAGGGGGTTAGTTAGGGCCTAGTAGCAGATCTATGCTCCCTTCTCTGCTTGTTGATGATATAAACACATTATAGCCCTCTCCTCAGTGCTGGCCACAGACACAATGCACTCTGTAAGGTCTGGAGAGACAGCTTCCAGTCTCTACCACTCCTCAGAAAGCCATGGAAACTAAGTTAATTTTCCAACCTAAACTTTACACACCAAAACTCATTAATATTACAGCCAGCTGCCCTCAAGTGCAGTGTGGTTCCACTGCCAGCCACATTCCCAGAGTCATACTGTGCACTCTGCCAGCTGCCTTTTGACTGCTCTATTTTTTGGAAACCTTGGTGATAATCAGGATGAGCACTGGGAATCCATGGTACAGAGAAGCAGGTAGAGCTAGTGTTGAGTGACTGTTTCTGTGCTGCTCCACAAACATACCACACCCAGCCAGGACTCTGCCTCTTCCTGAGTGCTCATGAAGAAACTCCCAAGTGCCATGCCACAGGACAGTGCCATCTGTGCTTTAGAACTGAGCCAGGCTCTTCAGGGCTGCTCATTGAAAGCCCTGAAGTTCCCACCCTGCTGCAGCTCCTCTGAAAGGAAGGCAGTTAGTTAGCACACTCCTCCAAGAATACCCACACCACTGCCCACTCCCAGCGGAAGCAAAGCACAGATAATCCAGAGGCCCTGGAGCCAACGCTTCCTGCCTGGGTTCCACTTCTGCCAACTTGAGCCTGTCACTTCTGAGCATGACAATGATGTGTGTTGGGAAACGGGCTTTTGGGGCTCCTGGGAATGCACAGCTGTGGCTTGCAGAAGAAAGACTGAAAGGGAACAGAGGCAGTATCTATCACCTAGAAGGTGCCCTAGCCAAAACTGCTTCAGAAAGCACACAACACAAGGGAGGAGGGAACAAAAACCCTCGGGCCCTACAACAGAGTCTTTTGCATCCTGTTGTTGACTGATTGGCTGATTTGGAAATAAAATATCATTTTTATCAGCCCCAGTCTGCCCCTCCCAACATTCTTAAATGTTCCCTTTAGTAATCAAAGAGGATTGCATCAAAGCTCTGCTATGTGGGAAGCATTCTTCAGTATGAAACCCACTGTCCCACCAGAACTGTGGTACCTCCCCATTCTGACGCCCGTCTCACTCTGGGGACATGATTCCATCCAATAATGCTTCCTTGAATGTGACTCTCTGCAGATAGAAGCCTCATCAAGGGCTAAAAAGTATCCAAAATCTCTGGGTGCCTGGGCAGCTGATGGGAGAACCTCTTCCAGGGAGAAGCAAAGGACAGGCTGTCAGATGAGCTACCGATCATGAGAGTGACCTGTATACCCTGAGGCACACACACCAGCTTTAGACAGAGGGGACTCTAAACTCTTCCCCACTTTAAGCAGTACTTAGACTAAGCTAATGAGCTGCCCCTCAGACCCTACCTAGCCATACTGTTCTGAGGCTGCTGATTAAACAGCTCTGGCGATAAGACAGCATGGGCTTGCTTAGTGAGAACTTCAGTGATCATCCTGAAGCAGCCTGGCTTGCCCCACAAAAAAAAAGAAAACAAAGGGGAGCAAACTCATCTCCAGAGACCCACCTCCCAGGGAAAAGGTACCCTGCAGTCTGAAGGTTCTTTCAAAGGCCTGCCACCCTGTAGTCGGCTCCAGGTTCAAAGACCTAGCTCTACCCGCTACATAGCTGAGTCAGCCTGGCTCTAACTGCATAGCCTGCCTAAGTGAGGGCACTCACTGATAAGCAAACCTTGGCTGTTTTTGTGAAGGAGTTTCCAAAGAGGCCTGGGTAGGGAAGACCATCCCCAATGAATTCAGGCAGCACAACCCATGGGCTGGTATCTGGGACTGAATAAAAGGGGATGGAGGAGCCAGGTGATGATGGCACCTTTAATCCCAGCACTTGAGAGACAAGAGGCAGGCAGATCTCTGTGAGTTTGGGGCGAGCCTGATCTACAGAATTCCAGGACAGCCAGAGCTACATAGAGAACCCTGTCTTTAAAAAAGGGTGTGGTGGTGGTGGAGAAAGCCAACTGCATTCATTCCCTGTTTCCTGCATCTAGATCTCCTGGGGTGAGAGCAAACAGCAGCACCACCTGCCACACCTGCCCCACAAAGACCAGCCGAATGAAAAAAAAACTTTCCTCCCATTAAGTTGCTTTTGGTCAGTGTTGAGAAACAGAACTAAAACATACCAACAACAGACTAATTCTGTACACAAATCACAATGCTGCACTACAGAGGCCTCCAGAGACAGGCAAGAAGATGTAGACATTCAAAAAAAAAGGAAATCAGAGAGGCATATAGCCTGGTGGTGCATGACCTTAGTCCCTGTGTTCTGGAGGCAGGAGTGGGGCAGCCTGGTCCACATAGCAAGTTCCAGGAGGGGGTATATACATGCTCACATAGTACAAATGAAGTGTGAGCCAGCCAGGAAAATGCTAAAGAGATGACAAGGGTGCCAGCCCACAAGACTCCGATTCTAAGGGCGAAGGTCCAGCTTAGTAACTATTCGAAGGGTCATGCTAGAGGATCCATAGGTCTCTACACTCCTGAAAGTGTGGCACACATACTTTTCTAAGCAGGAGAAAGACAAATTTAATAAATGGAATAAGGATGACATGTGTCATCTGGTAAGGTCACCTTCTTCAATAATCAGAGTAACAAAGATGGCGTAAGGTTTGATGGGAGCTGTAACATTGGTAAAGGGGAACAGGCAGTACTTTCACCAGTGATCTGTGAAAGCAGACTGGAAGAAATGCTGTAGAGGGTAGCTTGGCAACACAGACACTAGCTTTAAAGAGTATATAACCTTTGATTAGTTCCAGGCATTATCTTGCCCATGCCTATACCCTAGTGCATAGAAACTATTGCAGTAGATCACAGTCAAAATTTTTTGTGGTGGGCAGTGGTGGTCTAAGCCTTTAATCCCAGCACTTGGGAGGCAGAGGCAGGTAGATCACTGTGAGTTCAAGGCTAGCCTGGTCTACAGAGCTAGTTTTAGGACAGCCAAGGCTACATAAAGAAATCCTGTCTCAAAAAGAAAATTGTTCTGATTTTTGCTGTAGTTTTACACTGTAGCTCACTATGCCACAATGTCTGGATTCAAGCTCAGCAATCTTCCTGCCTCTCCTTCCCAAGGGCTGGGATTACAGGTGTGAGCCACCACAGGACACTGACAGAGGCAGATCTACATATACCACTGCAAAGCTCTCCAAAACATGTCACCTGGGGAACAGCAAGGAGATCAGTGTGCAGGCACCACCTGTGTCTCCGGCTTCACGAGGACCATCTAAAGGGGCTGACAATAGTGGGCAAGACTGAGTTGGGAAACAAAATTAGTTTTTATTGTAATTAGTTTGTCATTTGAAGCCATGCACACACATTACATACAAATATGAAACAAGGCTGTGTGTGGTAGTGCACACTTAATTCCAGCAGTCAGGAGGCAAAGGCTGGAGTGTGGCCACAAGTTTAAGGCTAATCTGGACTTCACAGTGAATTCCAGGCAAGCCAGAACTAAATATCAAGATCTTCTCTCAAAAACAAATTAAGTGTGTGTGTGTGTGTGTGTGTGTGTGTGTGTGTGTGTGTGTGTGTAAAATGTATATGCATTCAGCTAAGTGGTGGTGGTGCACGCCTTTAATCCCAGTACTGGGAGGCAGAGGCAGGTGGATCTCCATGAGTATGAGGCCAGCCTGGTCTGCAGTGAGTCCCAGGACAGCCAAGGCTACACAGAGAAACCCGGTCTCTAAAAACGAACAAAACAAAACAAAACAAAACAAAGACATGCATTAACTGTAGTTCTGCAGATAGAACCTGTTGGTATCCTGGCATTATGCTGACCCTGCCCCTTGACAACTGGCAGGGTATGCAACCAGCCTTTAGGCAGATACTTAGACAGCTCAAAGGGCCCTGTGTGGCATGGCTACCTCATTTGTGCTTGCTTTAAGTGGCTGCATAAGGACTCTGTACACAGAAACCGGGTGAACTGGGCCAATGCCAGCTCCATGACTCCAATTTCAACCGCCCCAACTACTGAGCCTCCTTCTAAACCGCTCTCTTTCCCAATAAACTCCATGTGGGTTTGTTGAGTTGTGTGGTTCTGTTTCATCGCCCGAAGCTGCAGCAAACAACAACAGAACACAGGTCATATGCATGGCTTTATACCATGGAGTCAGGCTCCCCCAAAATAGTTTAGATGCTGTGGTAGCTTGAATAAGAATGGTCTCCATAGGCTCATTAGTTTGAATGCTTAGTCACCAGGGAGTGGTGAGTGGCACTATTTGAAAGGATTAGGCTCTTTTGAATGGACTGCCTCACTAGGAGTGGGCTTCGAGGTCTCAAAAGCCCATGCAAGGCCCAGCCTCTCTGACTTGGCCTACAGATCAGGATGTAGCCCTCAGCTATTTCTCCAGCACCCGCCTGCCTGCCACCAAGCTTCCTTCTCCTAAGCATCACCACCATGATGCTAGTAAACTAAGCTTCTGAAACTGTAAGCAAGACACCAATTAAAGGTTTCCTTTGGAAGAGCTGCCTTGGTCATGGTGTCTCTTCACAGCAACAGAATGCCATCTTTACTATGCAATCTGCCTATCAAAGCTGTCCTCTAACAGAACCTGGCACTGTGAAGAGGGGGGCCCCAGCCTGGTGCTACCAATTACTCCCTATATGAAAATCTTGAACTAGAAGTCTTGTCCCTCTAAGCCCCCCTCTTACTGATACAAAAATACAGATGGCATCAGTAGCCTCCAGGGGTGGAGGTGAGGGTTAAAGAGAGGAACTCCAAGACACTAGCACTGATTAAGCCTCAGTAATTGGATTTTTCCCATCTCTTTGTGGACATTTAAGGAGCAATGTTTATGCAAAGATTACAAAACACACTTTGTGCTTACAGGGAGGCCAATTGGTGTACTTTGATGTGACTTCTGTTAAAATCTGAGTGCATTTATATGTGTCTACACCCACACTTTACCACAGGAAGAACATTGGTTGTCAGGTCAAGGAGGTGCTGTTATGGGGCCTGTAGCTTTACACATAATGAATGACTACTGCTTGAATTTCTCTGACTAAAGATCAATCATCATCACTATAAAAGTTTACAAAAAGGGCTGCTGAGCTATGTTGGCGCACGCCTTTAATTCCAGCACTTGGGAGGCAGAGGCAGGCAGATCTCTGTGAGTTTGAGACCAGTCTGGTCTACAGAGTAACTTCCAGGATGGCCAGGGCTACAAAATACAGAGACTGTATCAAAAAAAATCAAAGAACAAACACAAAGAATTTATGAAAAGGAAGAGTCTTAACATAAGAACTTACATCTGAGACCCAACAGCATCCCTGTGGTTTTTCAGAGAATCCTACACACCAAGACCCAGGACCTGTGATATCAGCTGACAGTGGCTGGCAACCAATGGTCTTTTGTGAAGCTAATGAAAATGTCTTCTGTTTACTTAGAAGATTCCTGAGACACTGTCTGGTTTGATTGTTTGAAACAAGGTCTTTATGTGGCCCAGGCTGGCCCTGAGACACTGTCTGGTTTGATTGTTTGAAACAAGGTCTTTATGTGGCCCAGGCTGGCCCTGAACTTACTATGTAGCCAAGGATAGCTTTGAAGTACTGATTCAAAGTACTTTGTAATTCAGTACTTTGAAGCCTGTAATTCAGCCTGCTTGAGACATTCTGATTGAGCCTACTGACATAATTCAATGGCCTAGGCTACCATATATGTTCCCCTGTATGTCCCCCACAGCCCATCAGCTCACTGCTGGTCCCAGTCCAGGGTGGTTACCCACCTTGCCATCAGAGGCGGTGTTGATCCTGTAGTGGTATACCCTCCCTTCATATCTCAGGGAGATGGACCTCTGGCCAGGACTACTCTCACTCTCCCGCACCAAGAAGCTGCCGTTGATCCCACTGCTCAGCAGATACTCAGCGGCATTTCGGGACACAGGCCCATGATACCAGGAATGTTTCTCCAGACTGTTGACAGGGGTGATGTAGTTGCTTGGTACCCATCCTTGGCCATTTTTCGTTTGGGCTTCACACCATTCCCCATTGTGATTATAACCTAAGACCCGGAGCTTTTCACCTTAGAGAAAAGAACCAAATAAATGTATCAGTTTTGATGACTGCCTTTCTTCTTTGTAACCTTTCTCTAGCATATCTCATTTTCCTGTTAGTCATGAGTGTACAGAGGACAACTCTGCCTTGGCATCTAAGATTATACAAGTTTGATCAAAAGTTCTGTTGCTACTGCAAGGAAACTTTTTAAGGAAAAATGCTTTTACTTGGTGATAAAAAACAGTAACAAAACTCCATGCTTTCAGCCTGAGATCCAGGTGTCCTCTTCTTCTTCTTCTTCTTCTTTTTTTTTTTTTTTTTTTTTTTTTGGTTTTTTGAGACAGGGTTTCTGTGTGTAGCTTTGGGGCCTATCGTGGCACTCGCTCTGGAGACCAGGCTGGCCTCGAACTCACAGAGATCCGCCTGCCTCTGCCTCCCGAGTGCTGGGATTAAAGGCGTCAGGTGTCCTCTTCTATAGGAACATGGGGAATCATGTGCACAGGACTGCTGCCCCTGAGTCTCCTAAGGGTGGGCACTGTGCTTTGTAGGCATCTCTGCCCTCTCAGGAAGCAAAGGGCAGGCCAGCCAAACCACACACCCCGACCCTTGCTTGCTGTTTCCCTGTTACCTTTAGTGATGCTGAGAGTGTTATCTCCACTGGCCACAAAATCATATAGTGCCACAAAAAGGTTGGGGTCATTTTCACTGGGCCCAGCAAGAAGGTTTTCCTTGGAGTTCCATCGAGCTGCTTCACTGAGACTCTGGGGCTCAAAGTCAGATGCCACTGGCCTCTGCAAGGCTTCTGTAAGACAAGAAAAAGGCAAATGAAATTTGGGAGACATGAGCTGAATTTTTCATGGCTTTACACACACACACACACACACACACACACACACACACACACACACACATATATATATTGCTTATATATATGGTTTTCATGGCTTAACATATATATAATTTATATATATATTATATATTATATATTATATATTTATATTGAAACAGGGTTTCTGTGTAACAGCCCAGGTTGTCCTGGAACTCACTCTGTAGACCAGGTTGGCCTTGAATTCATAGAGGCCTGCCTCTGCCTTCTGAGTGCTGGGATTAAAGGCATGTGCCACCACCACCTGGCTACATCCATATATTCTATGTATTAAAATTTTCAGTTGTCTTTATCAAGTATTATGAAAGGCATGAATCTCATTCTAACTGATGATTCCCTATGGGGAATTAAGTAAGAATGGGCCCCACATACTCACGTATTTGAATGCTCACATTAATGGAACTATTTGGGGAGGGTTAGGAGGTGTGTATTCTCAGTCTAACTGATGATTCCCTGTGGGGAATTAAGTAAGAATGGGCCCCACATACTCACATATTTGAATGCTCACATTAATGGAACTATTTGGGGAGGGTTAGGAGGTGTGGCTTCATTTGAGGTTAGCTCTGCCTCCTACTTCCAGATCAGGATGTGAGCTCTCAGCTACTGCTCCAGCCTTGTGCCTGCTGCCACTCTCCCTATCATGATGGTCATAGACTATGACCTCTAGAACCATAAGCCCCAATCAAACATTTTTTAATGAGTTGACTTGTTCTCGGTGTTCTGTCACAGCAGTAGAAAAGAAACAAAGGCATTCCTGTTCCCAAATAGTGTAAGTCTTTAAGTGCATTCATTCAGGCAGGCAAGATGGCTCAGCAGGTAGAAGCAGTGGCTGCCAAATCTGACAAACTAAGTTGGGTCCCTAGGACTCAAGTGTTGGTTGGAGAGGATTAACTCCTGCAAGCTGTTCTCTGGCCTCTATATGCACGCCATGGCATATGCACACACACCAAATAAATGTAATAAAGTAAATTCATTAATTCAATATGTATTTTCTCAGAAATAGACATAACCCACCTCAACAGTAGCCACCGCTTACAACATGGAATGCACATTCTTTAAAGCAGCTTTTCTTTTTGAGACAAGGTTTCACGTAACCTTACATTCCTAGTTCATCCTCCCAGGTGCTGGGATGACAAGTTTGTGCCCCCACAGCTAGCTTTAACACTTACATATATCAGTGTTGACATAAATAACTAAGCCTTTTATTCCATCCCTCTCTATGCTGGCCTAAGAGCTCTCCACCCTCTACTTCAAACTGCCCTTCTGCTTATGCTCTGAGGCAGCCGTTCCCCATGAGACTGCTTCTTCTCTCCATCCACCTTCCTGCTGGCTTCTGGCTCCTCTTCCCACTCAGATGTAGCCATCATTACACGTTTCTTAGCCTGTGAGGGCCCTAAACAAGCAGTCTCTTATGTTCTGAAATCAGAAAGCCTCCCTTCTGTGTCTGTCACATCTGAGGCTGGAGCTGACCAGCACTGCTTGCACTAGGGACAGGTACTGCTCATAGACAGTTTCCTGTCCTTTTCTCTTTGTTATCCTTGAACTGTACTCCAACTGTCTAAGTCACCTCTGTGATAACAATTTGTAGAAGGGATTTTCCTGAGAAGACCAATCTCATCTGGAAGGCATGGCAATGCAGGGCATGGCAGTACAGGACACTCTAACTGAGCCTGAAATTTCACTATTTTGTCTAAGCTGGCTGGCTAGGGCCTAGGAGCTACTAGGACTCATTCACCTCCATCACAGCACTGGGATTCTGGGCACATGCAACCATACCTGGCCTTCCCATGGGTGATGAGTACTTGAACTCAGGTCCTCTTGCTTTCACAGCAAGTGCTCCTAACTCACTGAGCCATTCCTCCAGCCCCAGAATAATTTTTTATCAACATGTCACCCTTCTCCACTTAATGTGTTTTGCTAGCTCCAAGCAAGGACTGACCGTGGGAGTTGAGTGCTAAAACTAGAGCCTAAAATCATCTATAAGTTCAACCTGGAGACCAGGGCTGAGGTCCGCTGCAGAATCTTTCTAATGCACATGGTCTATTCTGGCTGTTGCAAGTTTTCTTCCCCCTAATTCCCCAGCAATTTTTTAGTTCTGGCCATTATGAGTCTTCCTGAAATGCTCATTCTAACTGCATAAAAACAACTACTTCCCATGCTAATGTTTTGTTAGTTTTATATTCAAAAATAGTCTGAGACACCAAGCTAGCAAGAAAGCACACCAGCCTTCAGTGGGGAGCAGCATGGGCAGAAGCCAGCAGCACCTGTATCTGGGAGAGCACGTTTTTACCACAGAGAGGAGAGCACTGTTGACTCAGCAGGTCAGGTATGTGATGCCTGGTAGAACAGCTTCTGTGGCCTTACAGAAGTAAACTCTCTGGCAGAGTTTTTATTTTAAAGAAAGATTTAAATTTCATTTACTTATTTTTAACAAATATTGTGTATTTATTTTTACGTGTATTGATGTTCTGCGTGCACATTTGTCTGTGTGAGGGTGTCATATGCCTGGAACTGGAGTTACAGACAGTTCCTTACAGTAGTAAACTGCCAAGTGGGTGCTAGGAATTGAACCTGGGTCCTCTGGAAGACCAGTCAGTGTTTTTAACCACTGAGCTGTCTCTCAGCCCTGACTTACTTATTTTTAAATATGTATGCGCATGTGTATTTGTGTACAGATGTATTTATGAGAGTGCAAAAGTCTGTGGAAGCCATAAGGGGGCCACAAGTAGGTGTTGGATCCCCTCACCTGATGTAGGTGCTGGGAACTGAACTAGAGTTCTCTGCAAGAGTAATATGTGCTCTGAACTGTGGAGGCCTCTGTTCAGCCTCTGGTAGAAGATTCTTAGCATAAGAGGATTCTTACATAACAGCAGCTAAAAGATAAATTCTCACTATGGGAAAATGTGAACAAAACCCATAAACAAACAATTCATATAAAACTAAAATCATCACTAGACATGGGAAGTATGTAAAGCCTTGCTAGGAATCAAAGAATGCCAATTCTTCAAGTTCACAGGCCCTTCTGGATAGCAGCAGGAGTGTGAGTGAGACATCATCACGACTGGCATTCTTCTACACTGCTTGTAGCAGGGTGTGCACTGTGAGGCTGAGTGTAATACAAACCATCCTTAAGACACTCACAATCTTTCAACATCTTTTGGCAATTTATCCCAAGACATACAAACAATGACTGTGTACACCAATTTTAAAAGACAGCACAAAAAAAGAAGGTCCAAAATGCCCACTGATCAAATTAAGTCAGGCTATGCTCCATCCATAAAACAGGACACATTAAAGGCCATATGGGATGCTTTAATGTTTTGTGGGGAGATCCGCCTGCCTCTGCCTCCCAAGTGCTAGGATTAAAGGTGGTGCCACTAGCCACCACCCTTTTCCCCTCCCTGGGATGTTTTAGACAGGGCTCAGTGGCAGAACACTAGCCTAGAATGTGCAGGATCTGGGTTTGATCCTCAATACCACCAACAAACAAAATACTTTTGCAACAAAACAAAACAAAAAACAAGACAACAAACCTCTCTAATGGCTTGGGAATGTTTATAGCACATTCATTAAAATTTTATATTATATCCTGGCATATATAGTAATATCCCAACTTCATAAAAATTGAAAGAAGAACCAGAAGAAATGACACCAAAATGTGAACAGCAGCTAACATAAGAGTGTGGGAGGATTACAAATCTCTTTTAGCTGTCTTTTACTCTCTCTCTATATTATGGCTCATTTGTTAAAATGACCAGGTTATTTTTATAATCAACTCCCAATCCCAACACTAGAATAACATGTAAATAGAAACCAGGGATGCTTACATAACAGACAATTAAAAAAAAACAAAACAAAACAAAAAAAACAACAACGAGTAGCTCTGGGGAGGGGCCCCTCCCACTGTCCTGAAAGCATTTATGTGTTTCCTTGCATGCCCCAACCTAGGGCCAGCAGCACAAGGCTCTGGAAGGCTGGGATCCTACAGGAAATGAATGCTGGATCATGCATACAGAAGTGCTTTTCTTCTCAAATGCCATTTGACCTCTTTTTATCAAACATTCTGTTGCATCTGGATTTGATCAAAGTTACATAACCAGGGGAAGTGGCCTGGAAAAACACCTGGAGTAAGCAGGACAGAGATTCTGTCCAGAGATGAGGAGTGAAGTGGGTCTGTCCCCAAGGCTAGGACAGAAGCTGGCAATGTAGGTAGGGGGGGGGTGTGAAGGCTTTTTTAGAAGAGAAAACTGTTCTGCAGCTGCCCCTGATCCAACAGGATGGCCTCCAAGCCCTTTCTCCACCCCTTGCCCCCCTAGTCCCGGTCCTCAAGTTAACAGCCAAAGCCCAAAGGGAAGTATTGCTCATGCATGCCTCTGGATGGAGACAACGAGTACAGCCTTAGTTCAACAACAAAACCTTCCAGCCAATTCCCAGTCCAGGCTGATGTCAAAACTGACTCACGGTACACTGATGCCAAGTTACTTTCTTCATTTCATAGTCAACTATGCTCGTCAACCATAAAAATGATCATAGCTCACAAGGCCAAAGTTGCAGAAGATACTCAAATCTGTGTTGCTCAAGACATTAACTTTTTGCAGTCCCACTGTCAGGAAACCACCCTATCACCACCACCAAGCCCAAAAACTTTACTCAAAAGAATGCCTCAAAGAGCTCCTCTCCTGTTGCCTCAGCAAATCTTTGGCAGTAGTTAACCCTTGGACAATAAACTGCAGTGTGTGCTATGATCCATTTTCTTCCCCACCACAAGCACTTTCTGCTGTGCCTCTGAATCACACTTTATATATATTTGATTTGGATCTTTAAATGTGCCTGTCGTCCCCTTTAAGACCATTTTGTTCTCTAACTGTTAGTAAGCATGTTACCGCCCATCAGTGACACTCAGCAAGAGTTGATAA